AAAAAAAAAAAAAAAAAAAAAAAAAAAAAAAAAAAAAAAAAAAAAAAAAAAAAAAAGAGAAAAAGAAAGAAAGGAAAGCAAAGAAAGGAAAAGCAAAGAAAGGAAAAACAGGAGACTATATCAGACACAAACCTCTCGAAGAACGATCTAGAAGCAATTTGCTGTAGTCTTGGAATCTCAACAGAAGGGACTAAGGCTGACCAATACAAAAAAGAAGGGGGTTTTCCTATGAACGTGCTGAGAAACAAAAAAAGATGTCCTATAAAGATACCGTATCAATATGTTCGGAATACCCAACTGAAGAAAATGAGATACATGAACTTGACCCCAAAATAGAAACGCTAAGAGAAATGGTTCAAAAATCAAGAGAGAAAACCAAGATCTTATCATCAAGAATAGATACCCAAGTTGAAGAAGGGCAAAGTTTCTAACACCAAATGATGGAGGATACGTACAAAACGCCAAGAAAATCAAACAAATGCCGATATCAAAATGATAATGACAACAAAGGCCCAGGTGCCTTAGAATACAAGATGCTATTGGAGGTTAAAAAATTGTAGACTGCAATCCTAGGATTTAACGATAGGTTAAACTCGGTGTCCACCCAAATACAAGATATCCGCCAAAGGATAGAAATAAATGATGCCTGGCCAATACACAAATTTGAAAGATTCCAGGACCAACACAAATATGACACATTACGCCTAGTAGGAAAAAAACTTGATCTAGCTGTAGAATCAAGAAATATAAATGATGCCGTAAATCATATCGATACCGCCTGGAAAAAAATTGCAAACAGAATGTTTACACTGCGGGTAGCTGAAGGATATGGATAGAAAATTGCATCTGCCCTACCCGACACACAAGATGAGTGGTTAAAAGGAAAGGATGATCTAATCGAAAAAGCGAAAAATCTAGCAGACGTCAAGAGAAGTAAACGACAAAAAACCCAGAATTTGGGAAAAAATGATTATCAAGGGGTATAATTATCGTAAAACCTATAAAAGTAACAATTCAAGTTCCAACCGATCCTTTCATATATATAACCAGCCTCAAAACCGTGCTCCAGCTTCCTCAAGCAAATGCTATACCTGTGGGGGCCTTGGACATTTTGCAAATGCCTGTCCCTCCACCCCAAGTGAAAGTACCTTTAACTACCAATCACGTGGATACGCAACATATAAAAACAGATTTAAAAACAACAAGAAAGCACAAAGGATGATTGACTATGCTCAGACCCAGCAACAAATACCAGTAATAGGGTGCCTATATATGGATAAGCACATCAAGTATTGGGAGGAAAAAATTCGTGCCTCAAACCTTATTATAAGCTGGCTCAAGAACGGGATCACACTATTTCCAAAAGGGCTAATAGAGCTATTAATGCAACCAGATCCTTTTCAGTACCCATTTCAAAAGAACAGCAACTATGTTTAGATCTAGAAATAGAGAGATTTTTGAGAGTAAAGGCAGTTATGTCATTGGCGCAGTCAAAACAAAGACCCAAACATTTGCTAGAAGTGAGCCCTATATTCTTGACCCCAAACCGGGCCCCAAGAAGTGGCATTTAGTGATCGACCTTAGACGCCTAAATGCACGTTACCAGAAAAAATATTCAAGTTCAAAAGATTTGAGACCTTCCTATGTATGGTAGAGCGAAACTGGTGGGTAATTGTTTTGGACTTGAAAGAGGGATACTATCACATGATGATGAACGAGAATGCGCAGAGACTGCTGTGTTTTCAGATCAGAGACAAGTAGTATTACTACCGGGCCTTGCCCTTTGGGCTAAGCCAAACCGTATGGGTATTCTCAAAAATAATAAAATTACTGATAGGACATTGGAGATCAAGTGGAATTACCTGTGGAAATCATGTAGATGATATCTGGGTAACACACACCTGCCACAATATATTAGTACAGATAAGAGATTCAATTATACTCTCAAATCTGAGAAATTGTGGGTTCATACTAGCAGAAAAAGACCACCTCAACCCAACACAATAACTGAAATTCTATAGAATGATTCTGAATAAGGTGACAGGAATTGTATCAGCACCAGACTCCAAGATAAACTCGATATTACAGGCATTGGGAAGCCTGCTATCAGAAAAGGTAGTAATGGTTCGTCACTTGGCCTTAGCAACAGAAAAACTTATAAGCCTAAACCAAGCATTTGTATATGCAAAAACCCGTTGTTTAGAGCTTTATACTATTATCGATGCAGAAAACAGAAACCCTTGAGAATGGAACAATCCGATGCACCTAACGAAACAAGCACTTACCAATATTTGCTAGTATTAAAGAACCTAAAAAAGAAAAATAGAAGATTAGGTTGAAACTACCCCAAATAATTCCGATATACGTAGATACGTCCACAATTGGGTGGTCGGCAACTCTGGGGCAGGAACAGGCCTTTGGAAAATGGGTAAACAGACACAGGTACACAGATATTGCACTACTAGAGTCGATGGCAGTTTTGTTGGGTCTCGAGGCCTTCGTTTCAATTATAACACACTGTTGGGTGACTATTTTTATAGACAACCGGGTTGCCCGGAAGACTGTAGAAGCCGGAGGCAAAAGGCCCTGGCAGAAGGAAATAATACGGGAGGTATGAAACCTCTGCGACCAACACGATATACAGATTCACGAATTTCAGTGGGTCCCATCAGAAATGAACCCTGCAGACGAATTAACAAGAATGATCGATAAATCAAACTGGTCACTCTCCCCATACCTATTCCAGGAAATAAACAACGTATGGGGGCCCTTTACAATAGATCGTATGGCAAGTTACTATACAAGAAAAGTAACTCAACTCAACAGCTGCTTTCACTGTCCAGAAGCAGAGGCGACGGATTGCTTTACCCAAAATTGGGAAAGCGAAAACAACTACAAGTGCTCCCCTCTGGGTATTATCCACAAAACATTCGAGCATGGAATAGAGTCTCAGGCACAGATGACCCTAATAATCCCAGTATGGACTTCTGCATCCTGGTGGCCGGTTCTGCTTTGACAAAATGCAGAATTTATGGACCTATCTTGGGCTACTATAAGCTTCAGACAAAGCCCAGGGTTGAATATGATCTCAGAACCATAGAAAAACCCACATTAGACATTTCAGACAGTGAGGATCCATTTTTGAACACACTACTAGCAAAAGCACAGGAACACCTACTACCAAGCTCAGCCTATAAAAGGCGTCTTTGAGTTCTGTAGGATGAATTTGCTACTTTTTGCAGGTTCCACGACTTATGTCCTTGCCCAGCACATCCCGAATCTATTATGTCATTTTTAGTATGGAAGGATATTTTGGATAGGTCAATGAAACCACAGATGTATTTAATTGCAATAAGCCGGTTTCACAAGAAGATGAGATTTTCTGACCCTACTACGAACTTTAATTTTCAGGCACTGACAAAAAAACCTGATGAAGCTTGCGGCAGTGGATCACGAAGCAGCCTGGCCTCGCGACCCCTTATCTGTGGAGGCAAAAAGATTTATGTGGACAACCCCCCACCTACACATCAAATATAATCTGGAAATGTGATTGTGCGATGATAGCACTTGGTCTCCACACTATGCGCCACCTGGCAGAACTTTGTAACTTACTAATAAGGGACCTGAGAATGGAAAATGGAATCTGCTGGGTTAGAATAAATAAGTCAAAAACTACCAGCTTGCAAAAGAGAAATTCATCCCAATTGAGCCTACAAACTCTTCATACTGCCTAGTGAGGCTGGTGTACAAGTATTTAGAGCTAAGAAAGTTAGGAAAAGATAAAGACCCGCTACTTCTAAGTATTTCTGGTAAGCACATGACAACGAAAGCAGTGAATATAGCAGTGAAAAGGGTGGTGCAACATGCGAAGTTGAAGGGCAAGTATTCGGGCCACAGTATACGCATAGGAGGTGCAACAGGAGCAATGAAGGCCGGGCTAACACTTTCTCAAATAATGAGCATTGGAGGGTGGTTATCACAGTCGGTAGCATTATATCTTTGATCAGTCTCAACTACACTACAAAACACCTCAACAAGAATGAGATTTTAGAATAGACCCATACTGTTAGCTATAACCCAAATGATCCTCTGTTATTTCTCATCATGTATCTCCATAAAACCTAATAAAGAAATCCAAGTGAGAATAATAGCCCTATGCGTTGACGATAGTCACGCTAGGGCTATTATCGCGAGGATCACCCAGATTTGGGCTTTGTGTAATGT